TCTCGACAAGAACGACGGAGGGGATGGTGCGAATAAATCGTCCCTGCGGTTCGCCACGGATATCGTTCGCGTCAAGCTGTTGAACGCTTACGGTTGTTGGGCCGTGGTCGAGCCGCATTTCGCTCGCGCGACGGTGCACCGAGATGGATCGCTGGCTGCTGCGTGGAGAACGGAAGAGAATGCACATCGAGAGAGAGGACGACGAGGACGAGATGGACTCGACGACGGATGACGAGACCTCCTCGACGATCGCTTAGTCCGCGAAGAGCGTCACAGCGGTTTGGCGCAAGATCCGTAACACCTACGAAACGAATCGCCGCGATATCGTGTACGCCTACGGCGGATCGGCGGAACAACTGACCGCCCTCAACACCGAGTACGAGTCACTGACCGAGGCACACTGTCGAATCGTGCTGATCACGTATCACGGCCACTCGACCATCCGAGACTACGTGTCAAACGCCCGACACCTGGCCGAACTTCACGGAGTCGTGATATTGTCGCTGTGCTGGTTGCGACGGGCGAACACCATGAACTCTGCCATCGCGTTCGCTGAGGAGTGACGATTTCGCGTGCAGATCACCGACTCGTATCACGACTCGGACGATTGCGACGAGAATAAGGAGGACGATCGTCGCTGCCGCGACGAACTCGATTCCGCATCGACGCGACGACGGCTCATGCCGTCCTTGTTCCGGAAGGATCGACGGACCGAACGCGCGCGAGAAACGAGCGGTTACGGCGACGAAGACGACGGTGCCTCGTCGGACGATTCTTCGCGCGATCGCGATCGAACCGCGACATCTCGCGGAACGATCGCGCGCGAGATCGAACGATTCGACGGCGGGGACGATGTCGTCGCCTCGGTGTCGGTGATAAAAGCGGCGTATCATCGAGGCGATCGCGCACGCAATCGCGACAAACCGTGCCAACTGCGCAATCGAATACTCGCTCAATTCTTCGGCAAGATATTGTACTACGTGCGAGAGTTCGTGATATGCGATCACGTCGGCATGGCGTTTCACAAGTCGTTTCGCGTGATCGATTCCGCCGCGATCGATCGCATGTGCGCTTCGATCGCAGCCAATCGCGACAACGTCGTCGACGCGAACACCGCACGACCGATCCCGACGATGTAAGATCCGTGGCAATAAAGGGGTGCCGTTAAACGCCAATAAACGGCGCACTATGAGAGAAGACGCGAGCGAGTCGTTTCCTCACTATCATCCGTTCCTTTCGCGACGCAGCGGTTCCTCGTCGCTGCTGATCCCGACGGCGTTGCTGCTCCTCGCGGTTTGCGCGATCGCGTTCATCGCGCTTGCGCGAGCGATACTCGCGACCGTTGGCTTCGGCAGCGACGATGACTCGCGTCGACCATCGACGCGATCGTCCGATCGCGAACGACGCTGCAACCGCGACGACGCTTTCGGAGACGATCGTCTGGCACCGTTCGACCGCTCGGATGTCGTCGTGCCCGAATGGTCCGAGGACACGCGCGAGTGCGATGATCTCGGACGCGCGCATGAGTGCCTCATGACCAACGGTTACGCCGCGTGCTTCGAATGCGTCGAATTTCGGCGAGCGTCTTTGCGCGTATGCGCGCACGTCAGCAAACCGGTCACCGTGCACGTGTACGACGACGCGTACGACGGCAACGGCGATCGTTGCGATCGCGGCGGCGCGGACTTTACTCTCCGAGCCAACTCCTCGTCGGACAAGGGTTACTGCGTCAGCGAGGCGCTGGCCGAGCGACTGCGCGATCTGACCGCACCCGAGAGAAGCTGTAGCGACGCGGCTCGCACGCAGCGCGAGTGCAGCGAGTACAACGCCGACTGGATCCTCGTGCGAAAGCGAGCGACGCGAGACACCACGGACAGTTCGTTCAATCTCGCGTGTCGATGCAAGTATCCGCATCTCATAGCGAACGCGACCGCACCGATGTCCTCATATTCGTGCGACGTTGATTGCAACGGTCGCGGACGTTTGGACGCGGCGTCTCGCTCGTCCGCGATCGATCCGTTCGTGAACGGCCGATGCGAATGCAACGACGGTTGGATCTCCGAGTACAACGACGTGGTCGGTCCGTTCTGTCACGAGGCCACGATCGGCGAGTGGCCGAGCATATTGCCCGACCAGGATATCGACAGCGACGCGATGCTGAATCTCTCGTCCGAATTCATCGACGAGAACTTTCGCGCGATCATCGCGCGCGAACGAGTTGACGGCGAGGACACCTTTTTTTTTTTTTTTTTTTTTTTTGACGAGGAGAAAATCCATCATGGATACCCTGACCCTCGGGGAAGGGCCAGGGTTATGCCGGACTCCTACCGGCTAAAACCTCCCCGGGTGGCGCTGCGAAGGGACTTGGGTCGGGGCCCCGGTGTCGCGTAACTGCTAATCGGGGTCCCGAGTCCAGACGGCGAGGACACCTGAGTAAAGTTGATCACTCCATGCACTCCATGCTCCATCGTGGCCACGGACGACGGCGAGCCGTACTTTTGCGGCGACTACTTCACGATTCGAAAGCGTAACAACGCCGATCCGTTCATCGCAATAGCGAATATCGGGATTCGTCGCGATCGCGATTATCTGCGCGAAAACGGCGGTAGATTTCCCAACGTGTGTGTCAAGATCACGGCGTCCGAGGGCCTGGTGCCCGATCGATTCCTGCTGCAGTTCATGACGCGGGACGACGCGAGCGCGAAGAAATTCGCCATGGAGATAGGTGTTCTGGTGAACGAATCCAGCGTTCGACGATGGTTCGGCGGACCCGACGACGATTTCGACGCGTCTCCGAATTATCGGAGATTCGCGCGATCGCTGCGCTTACCGGAGGGCGACGCGTTGAAAGACTGCGGCACGTGGACGTGTGGCGGTGTGGACGTTCAACCATCCGTCGATCTCGAATCATCGACAATGAGTCTGCGAGTCGCTTCGACTCTTCTGAGGCAGCGCCTACACCGATCTGGCGTTCGCTTCGGATCGTTTGAACTTTCCGTTGCCCTTTTACAGCGACAGGTCGTTAATTATTATCTCTATTACCCCCGATGCATGTTGGTGAACGACGCCGAACGCGTTATTCGTGAACATCTCAGACAAGAGGCTTACGAGTGTCCGGATCGGACTCGACAATTTGGATTACTTTTACGGAAAATACGTGTACACCGATCATGAAACGGAGCACAATATGGCGTGAGCAATGTTGCTCGTGTGTCTCGTGCGACACACGGACAGCGACGACGGTTCCGAATACATGCGACCAACGATCAATTGCGCGCATCCGAACGACATCGCTTGCGTCATGGTGCGCAGCGATCATCTGACGATTTATGCGCGTCTTCTGTGGTACCCGTCGGACATGCGAATGTTGCAATTCTGCGCCGAACGGGGCAACTGCGGCGAAAACGATTGCGACTACGACAAGAACGATGTGTACGAATAGAGCGAACGACGAGCGAGAAGGAAAACGGACGGGATGTTGCGGAAGGGGGAGGCGAATAAGAAATACACGAAATATGGAAAAACGAATTCTCTCTTATTGGTCGGTGAGCATGTCAATGCGCGCGTGAATGTTCTCGTCGCTTCGACGAGTCGCGAGGAAAAGATCGGACCACGACGGCACGAAATTGCATTGACAATCGCCGCATGGTGCGTATGTCAAGAGCCAAATATCTCGAAACTGGTCGTCGTAACGAGATCGCACTCTCTCGATCGTCTTCACATTGAGGCTGAATGGTAATCGTACGAACGCGCAATACGGACAGTGCTCCGCATGCAACGCGTTCAGCTCGGACCTCGACGCCGCGCGATTCAGCGACACCGTGAACAGACACGCGTGACAGCGCGCCGTCAATTTTTCGGAACCGTATATTCGGTAGTTCGGTCGATGTCGATCCTCGTCGGCCCTATCTTCGTCGAGTCGTCGCACGATCACGTCCTCGTCGTCGCTCCGCTCGTCCTTGTCGTCACTCCGCTCGTCCTCGTCTTCGTTCCGCTCGTCCTCGTCATCGCTCCGCTCGTCCTCGTCGTCGCTCCAATCGTCCTCGTCGTTGCTCCGCTCGTCCTCGAGCGCCATGGTTTCGGCTTCGGACAGAGTCTCCTCGTGGGACGATGCGCGAAACGTCGATACGCACGACGGTGTCGCGACCACGGTGAAACCGTCGTCGACCAACGAGTCGACCGTGCTGCGCGACGCCAACCAACGACCGTTATCAGGGTCGATGGAGCTGCTGGTCCGTTGCTCGGGATCACGGTACAGGAAAGTACCCTCGCCGAAAGTCGACCACATCACGTCGTAATGATACGCCGTGCAAGCGCATCCGCGGAGTGACAAAATTTGCATTTGACGACGCTCGAATAGGTGATGAGTCGTTCGGAGCATCGATTGAAGCAACAGTGTCGCCACGTATCGTCGCGCACGTCGTCGCACAAACGTCGACGCAGCTGTCGTTGACGCAACTGTAGAGAAAGTCGGGGCGAATAAACGAAACTGCTCGATGTCGCCGTCGCCGAGGATCGCAATCGCCAGCTGGATCGAAGCGACGGTACACGTTGACGATCCTCCGTGAGGAGGCGCCGAACGATTCCGCGATCGTGATCCCGCACCTTGCGAATGAGATCGACGAATCTTCGAGCGCCGTCGTCGTCATCCGAGTCGCTCGTTCCCACGGCGCCTCGAAAACGCTCGAATTCTCGATCGACAACGGTCTCGTGGCGATCGTTGGCCCAAGGCAGTACAGGATATGTCAGATACGCCTCAGCCATGTGCGAACTGACGCTGTGGAAGCTCAATACGCGTCGTACTATAGTTTCAATCTTCCTTCCTCCACACCCACTTCCTAGTTCGGATGAGCAACCTCGGCCGGCAGCATCCATCGAGGATACGACATGTCCGATACGGACAACGGACCGTGCGGTGCCATGACTGGAGAGAACACTGCTGCAAATTTCGGAACTAGACTGCGAACTTGCGACATCGCTCCACGTTCTTGTACCCTTCGTTATTTATATTTAGCAACACCATTGGCATCAGCCTCCACATTTCCTAAGTCTCCAACATGACGCGCAGCATGGCTTGGACCACCATGTTCTTTTCCCAATGGACTGAAATGAGCACCTGTACTTGTACAACCTACAAAAAAGATAAGAATATTCTTTTATAAAAGGAATTGTATACTTTTATCTAAAGGATGGTTAATTTGATGTAAAATGATTAATGTTGCAAATTGGAAAGCTATAATAAAAGAAAAAGTGAATTAACTTGTTATTAAAGAATCTCCAATTAACAGAAACATATTACAAAGTCATCATATTTAAATTTCCCTGTCATTCCTACTCACTATCATCAAATAAACTGATATCACATATACTCTTATATGTATTTCAGCTGACATTTTTTTTTTTATGGAGGACAAAAATAATCTATGAATGTAACTAATTTGAAAAGATATATAAATTCAATAAATATATTCCACAAATAAAATATAAATTTTAGATTTGAAAACTTATAATAAGCAATTTCAATTGTAAGATATTCATTTTGAGATTAAATTTAAGATATTTTGATATTATAAATCAATAATTTTTTATATAGAACTCAAAACTCAAAGATTAATAAATTTTATAATTCTAAATTCTAAATTATCAGACAAGAATAATATGTAGGCAGTCTGAAAAGTTCTCAACCTGACACATACATGGCATTAGAAACTGTAATTGCATTGGAAAGTGGCATCCCTGATATAAACTCATGTAAAATTTTATTCAATCTGTCAAATCATTCGAGTAATAGCACCAGTTGAAAAAGCTGTGCAAGATGGGTGCTATATTTGCTAACAATTGACCAAAAATGCATTCAAATGCATATTTCTCAAGCGTATTTGGGTCGTTTTAAGCAAAATAAAATGGTTTTCAAGCATCATTTCATAACTGTTGATGAAACTTGGATCCACCACTATACCAGAGCAAAAAAAACCTTCCGGAATCACTTAATGATCACTTTAATAATAGTATTGAATTATTGAAAAAATGTTGGAATGTATTGAAGTTTTAGGAGATTATATTGAAAAATAAAATATATTTCAGGGCAAAAAAAATTTTCTTTCATTGTTAGGCCGAGAACTTTTCAGACTGCTCTCATATAAGTGATACAATTATGATATACTTGAATTATGTATTTTTTTAAATATGTACCATTGGTATTATCACCAAATTCATGAACATGGAAACCATGCAAGCCTTTCTGTAATCCAGAATTTTCTCCAGTCACTTTCACTGTATTTGAATCTTCCTGCAATGGAAATTAAGTACTTACTATATATAGATATTCCTTTTTTTAATCAAAAGTCAATGATTATTCTAAATTATTTAATTAAAACTGTTAATATAGTTATAAATCAGTTTAAAAATATGCAAATAAAACTATTGGTGTGTTTCGAATATTCTACATAAAACTTAGAAAAAAGAAACGTTATCTACATATGAAACATTACAATTAGCAAATATGTCTCTAATTAATAATAACGCAATAAACTCGAGATCATAATTTCCGGTATAGTATAAAGTAATTCGGCGATGTAAAAACTTCGACATAATTTAACTGATTAACTTAATATCGAATTTATAATGATTATAAGGTTTACCGCTTGTTCGAAATATAAAGTTCCTTTAACATGTTCACCCTGAAGGACATAGACTGCTTTGACCGTCATTTTGCGAGTATTACAGATAGCTCGGAACCAGCTGAATGAATCGTTTGCAACAGACTGCGCGATAAGTCTGGTTATGCAAGAATCAAAAAGATTATATTGCTGAATCACGGCCAATCGAGTGGTGAGAAAAATGCTGACGCACTATGTAGAACTGGCTGAGAAGTCGGCAAAATTTAAACGATGCAAAATAGCTGATAGAACAGTTCAAAAACTAAAGTCGTCCATTAAGCAGGGTCTAAAGGCCGTATCCCACTACAGGTTACGGACGGGTGAGATCATTGGCCGCGTTCAGTAGAACAAAGTGATCAGAGAGCGCTTAGTGATTATGGTCTGTGATTGGAGCATTCTTTTAGATTCTTCATAGACCCAGAAGTATTTACCAATCAGAAGCAAGATTCAGTGGAAAATCTAGTAATGTTGTCCAACTGTTGAGTCTGCTAAATGCAGCAATTGAATAAAGAATATAAAGCCAACGGCACACGGTGCTTGTTTTCGTGCTGGATTGGTTGCTAGATGAAAATACTGCGTTCTGATTGGTGCATTTCCATCCACTTTCGGAAAAGTACCAATCAGAACGCAGTATTTTCATCCAGCAAGCAATCCAGCACGAAAACAAGCACCGTGTGCCACTGGCTTAAGGAAGGAGCATTTGGCCAAGGTACGTGGTGGAAAGTGTAAAGGACGTGACGTAATGATACTACACCAACTTTGACTATCGATATATCAGCGAATCGAGATAAGTTTGATGACGTCGTCATCGAGTAGTCGAGAAAACGACTTGACGTCTTTTGTAATAGAATGAATGGAATTTTTATAAATAGTCTTTTAGAATAAAAAAATGGTTAATTGTTGCTCGTGTGGTGCGATACAAAAAAAAGGATGTTTGCAAACATTCCATATGTGAGTATAGTTTATTCTATTGTTTAAGATTATTAAAATTATAAAAGGTAATTATTTAGAAGAGGCACACGGCCTCCAATTTTTCTAAAACTCACGTATTTTGTATATTTTGACATGTAAAAATCTGAAAGTAAAAATCGTCTTTCAGCTCTACAAAGTGATAAAAAAATTATTAAAGATAAAGGTATGATAGGTTAGAAAATCTGTCATTTTAAGGTAAAGTTTGTTCGTTGCACTTTTAGAGTAGACTTTTAGAGTAGACTTTTAGAGTACAGTTGCACTTACTCTATTAGTGTAACGCAATGCAACAACTTAATGAAAATATTTAAATTAAGAATATTTATATAAATAACTTTTTCATATATCACCTTGCGTAAAGGCTTTTGCTAATCTTTGCAGAATTTTTCATTTTAGTACATGGTAGACTCATCGATTTAAAAGATGAAGATTTAAAGAAATATTCTTTTATAATCATTGTACACAAGATAGGATTTATTTTGAATTGTACATAAAATAACTCTAGTAACTTCTAAATAATTACCTTGTAAATTTTAATAATAATATACCTCAAAATATAACTCATAAAATATATAATTCTAAATTATGACTGATTAAAGTAGAATTTTGGAATATCTAATTTAGTTTTCCAAAGCAACCATTACAAAGGGAAAAGTGGACAAGTTTTGTTGGTAGAAGACTGCGAAGACTGCCAAACTGGTAGTCTTGAAATATGTACGTAACCACATATTCTGACAAATAACTAGCGAAATATCGTGAGTTAACACGTTGAATGCCACGGGGGTCACCGGTGACCGGCACTCAACTTGGCGGTAGCGCCGTGGGGACCACCGGTGACCGGCGCGCCAAGATTAGTAGAAATACATAATTAGAACAAATGTCAATACTTAAAAATTCTTCATTATTACCATCGTTACTACAATGGTTTGAAGAAATTAATGCAGTATAAGACATAAAAATAGTTTTATTTATACATGTTATCGATAATATTTCACACATAATTGTATCGCATAATAAAAATTTATCGTGGCGCCACGGGCAATCCCTGTAAAACTAGCGTGGCATTCAACGTGTTAACATTGAAAAAGTTATTCAGTTTTCCTTAAATATGTCACAAAATGTTAGTTAAATAAAATAATGTTTCAGACAAAAGTTGTTTAAATTAATTGGTAAAAAAAGGCGTTGTAATAAAAAATTCGGGTATCCATTTATATTATAATGTACTTAACATAACTTTTTACAAGTAAAAATGATATAAATAATTTAACACGTTTATTACCCAGACAGCACATGATCTCCTGGGGATGTCCTATGGACATCCTAAGGATGAAGAAACGTCCCTAGGATATCCTTAAGACGTACTTTGGACGTCCTCTGGACATCTGTGTTGTTAGGGTAGTAGTGTCCAATACTTCATTTATCATTATTTATTACAACACTGAGTATGATTGTTTTACTTGTTATTATAATGTACTTAACATAACTTTTTATAAGTAAAAATGATTACATGTAAAATTTATTATAATAACCTTTTTAAACAAAAAGGTAAAATAAGGCGCCAAGCGCAACACGTATTGTACTATTTTTAGAAATTTCAAATTCAAATTATTTTTTTTTAAGTATGTATGTGTACATAACATAAGTTTTTAAAAGTAAAACTTATACAAAAAAGTGATATATTAAAACAGTAGCGCTATCTGAGAAATCGTATACTTAATATTTTTAGAAATCTCAAATTCAAATTATTTCCTTTTTTTTAAGATATATATTATGTACATAACATAAGTTTTTACAAGTACAAATGATATCATGTTACAACAATTTTACACGTCTATTAGTAGTTTAATATTTAATTTATCATTATTTATCATAACACTGAGTTATATGATTGTTTTACTTGTTATTATAATGTACTTAACATTACTTTCTACAAGTAAAAATGATATCGTGTTATAAAATTTTAACACGTTTATTAATAGTGTTCAATATTTAAAAAAGATATCTTTTTAAAGTTTATTATTACAAATTCAAATTATTTTTTTAAGTATATATGTGTACATAGCATAAGTTTTTACAAGTAAAACTTATACAAAAGAAGTGATATATTAAAACAGTAACGCCAACTGAGAAATCATATACTTAATATTTTTAGAAATCTCAAATTCAAATTATTTCCTTTTTTTAAGATATATATTTATTATGTACATAACATAAGTTTTTACAAATAAAAATGATATTTGTTAGAACACTGAGTTATATGATTATTTTACTTGTTATTATAATGTACATAACATAAGTTTTTACAAGTAAAAATTATATCGTGTTATAAAAATTTAACACGTTTATTAATAGTGTCCATTATTTTAAAAAGATATCTTTTTAAAAGTTATTGTTATTCAAGAAAATTCAAGAAAAACTAACTACAAAAGATGTCAATAACATTAATTTTTAAAAAATTTATCATTATTTATTAGAACACTGAGTTATATGATTTTTTTACTTGTTATTATAACAAATTAATTATTATAACAATGCAATAAAAAATATTTCATACAAAAAATCTTGGCGCGGCTGCACCAAAAACTATTTCGAAGATGTATATACATAAAAGTCTAATTAGATATAAAACATTACACCGTATATATAGACAGAGAATTTATAAGTACATTTTATTATAATAAAAATGCTGTCATGTATATATTAAACAAGTTTTAGTCCGATATAGTTGTTGGTGCAGCCGCGCCAAGATTTTTTGCATGAAATATTTTTTATTGCATTGTTATAATAATTAATTTGTTATAATAACAAGTAAAAAAATCATATAACTCAGTGTTCTAAAATAATGATAAATTTTGTAAAAATTAATGTTATTGACATCTTTTGTAGTTAGTTTTTCTTGAATTTTCTTGAATAATAATAACCTTTAAAAAGATATCTTTTTAAAATATTGAACACTATTAATAAACATGTTAAATTTTTATAACACGATATAATTTTTACTTGTAAAAACTTATGTACATTATAATAACAAGTAAAATAATCATATAACTCAGTGTTCTAACAAATATCATTTTTACTTGTAAAAACTTATGTTATGTACATAATAAATATATATCTTAAAAAAAGGAAATAATTTGAATTTGAGATTTCTAAAAATATTAAGTATATGATTTCTCAGTTGGCGTTACTGTTTTAATATATCAGTTCTTTTGTATAAGTTTTACTTGTAAAAACTTATGTTATGTACACATATATACTTAAAAAAAATAATTTGAATTTGTAATAATAACCTTTAAAAAGATATCTTTTTTAAATATTGAACACTATTAATAAACGTGTTAAAATTTTATAACACGATATCATTTTTACTTGTAGAAAGTAATGTTAAGTACATTATAATAACAAGTAAAACAATCATATAACTCAGTGTTATGATAAATAATGATAAATTAAATATTAAACTACTAATAAACGTGTAAAATTGTTGTAACATGATATCATTTGTACTTGTAAAAACTTATGTTATGTACATAATATATATTTTAAAAAAAAGGAAATAATTTGAATTTGAGATTTCTAAAAATATTAAGTATACGATTTCTCAGTTGGCGCTACTGTTTTAATATATCACTTTTTTGTATAAGTTTTACTTTTAAAAACTTATGTTATGTAC